CTATTGTCCCTCTCTCTTTCTTTCTCTCGCACCTATCGCATTCTCGCTCTTCGCGGTATTATACCGCCGCACTCTGCTCGCCTCTTTCGGTCTCGGGCGATTTCAGCGGTCGCGCGGCACTGACTCCGGATCACTTAACGAAGGTTCGAGCATTTCCTCCGGTGATCGGACTGCTCGGAGTCATGATGATGATGATGCGCTTTCCTCTTTCCGGGAATTGCGAGAGAGGAAGAAGACATGTAAGATGGTAGGATTTAGATTATTCTTTTTTTGTCTTTAAATGATTTTATTTTAATACTGATATTTCCTCATTGAAAAAACTGCTATCTTATTTAAATCTACTATTTTTTAAATAATTGAGATAATAATTCTCTCCTATTAGACTTTCGAGAATATCATCGTTACTTTCGACTTTTAAACCATGACTTTCAAAAATGCTCTTTCTTCCTACCTTCCAAATCAATAGCCCATGAACTATGAATTGACTGTATTACAATTCGCGTGATTATTGCTTTCCGCTACCGTTAACGAAGCCTCGTTACAAGCAAAGTTTGTAAATACCTTAGCGATGGAGAAGCGAAGATCGGTTCTTCGTACCGCAGGCGCGTCACAAACTTGGTCGGAATGTCTTGTATTAAATCACTACGATCTCCTAGACATACGTCGAAGTCATGCTAGCTTTTGCAATAACCCACTGTTTTTTTGTGCGTTTATGTTTTAGATACGAAGCCGTATAGTTACACGTTATCGTCGATCAATCGCAAACGAAATACGAACGTCTGTGATATTTTCGTTTTTTTTCTTATATATTAAATATCGTTTAGATCTTCAATCATAAATTGATGTTGAAAAGGAGGCTAAATAACAGTTAGCCTATTTAGGATCTACCATGAAAAATTCGAAAATTATTTATACAATTATTTTTATAGAAAATTATATTTACACAGAATATGGAAGATATATAAGCTTTTATTTAACAAATATTTTCTTTTGCTTCTATAGCTTGTTTGTTAAGTGCATTTCCTTTTGTTTTTTCTTGGAATTATTATTTTCCTTGAAATCGACATTTACGTGTGCGATCGCCGGAAATTTAAGTCTGCCGGATCTGACGGAGGATATTCGGCGACGGGAAAGTCCGTTGATGTACATCAACGGTTTGTCTGGTCGCGTTGGTTCGTTTCTCATGATCATCGTGGACATACGCGGGCTCGCAACGTTGTTCTCTTATTTTCCCCGAGTGTCCCGCGGTAACCGGCAGCAACATTGTTTTTCTCTTGCTCTGCTTCCCCTCTCGCACTCCGCTTCCCTCGCTCTTTCGCCATCTATCTGACGACTGGCTTTTGGGATTCCTTTTTTAATACTCGGACACACCGAGGACCTTTTACCACGGACACGTAGGGGCCCTCTTGTAATGACCGCAACGCTCCAATGCACTCGGCGTCCGGAGCTGCATAACCGGATGCTGCAGCGGACGCGTAGGATGCATCTTGCAGCGCATCCATCTATCGTTTGCTGAATCTTGTTGACATTTCATTTTCGATGTTGCAAGATTGGAAATACATTTGTCGTGTTTTGTTGAAAATAATAAATAACAAATAAATATATAAAGCTATGCGTAAAATTATGATTAGGATATAATGATCGCATCGAAATGTAAATAGTATGATTTAAATTTTACCGTTTTGATTATTTTTTTACGTATTATAATTTTATTAAGTTATAATTTTATCTATTGCAATGTATTTGCTTGTGCGATATCTGACAATTGATATTCGGTAATAATAGCTGATCTTTTCTTCAGCTGATATAAGTGAAAATTCGTAAGCGTTTGTCTCAATCCATTAGTTCTCCCGGACATGGCCAATAATTCGTTGACAAGAACGGTAATCTCTTCGGAGAGATCGAGAATCATCTAGTCAAATACTGAAGGGAGGAGCGCTAAATCAGGGAAAACCTAGGGACGCTCGTTTTGGGTCTCGGGGTTGCCTGGAAGACAAATGTCAGCGGAACATGCGGGGAGCTTGGCTCTCGGCCTCTCTTATGCGTGGAGATGCACGGTCTGCGGCGGTAAATCAAGGGTGGTGATATTAAAAGGCCGCTTATACGCGAAAACATAAGATTTATTTCTGTTGGAGTGGAATGCGCGCGCGAGAAGGAGCGGGATAAAGGCGGTTCGTTTCGTCGAACGAGTGAATGCGCGAGGAGCGAAAGGAAGGCCAGATGAGAGAAAGACGGATTATATACGGAACGAATTTTTCCTGGCTCGTACGTGCGCGAATAGAACGACGAGAGTAGAATTCAGGCAAGATAAAGCTGCATACGCATCCATGAACGAATGACAACGTCTATCACTGAGTGACTCGGACCAATATTGCAATACGAGAAGTGAAGCAGTACAGAATGGACAGAATGTATAAATATAAATCGTACCTACAATATAAGAGTGAATATAAATGGTAAAAAAATGCGTGATTTATACACTGAAAAAATACTAAATTTTAATAAATATTTGTTTGAATAGTTCTAAGTAAACATTTACTAAATATATATTTATTTCATACAAAAACCATTAATTTTATTTAATTATAATTTCTTTCATTGAGTAAATATTTACTGCAAGTAAATGTTTATTTAGTAAATTGTTATTAACTATTCAAAGAAATATGTATTCAGATTTAGTAAATTTTTTTCAGTGTATGCAACTGATTTCTTTGAATACTTTTTTCTTGATTGAACAGATTGCGTAATTGTTGTTTATCATGTGCATTACAAAATGCATAATCTTGCATAATTTTTTAAATGGAATTATAATATAATCCTAAAATAAAGAAAGAATCGTTCGATATTTAATGAATTGTATTAATGAATTATATCGAAATTTCTTAGCTTTATTTACATTCCATATTTTCTTCTTGCATTATTATAATTTAGTTCACGGATTGTGTCCGTATAATGATTCATTTTCCTTTGTAAGGACTGGCCCACTATCACGCGAGATTCGGTCGTCTCGGTTGATTAAGGCCATCCACAATGATGCTGTCACTAGGTTCGTTCGTGCATAGAACAGGATATTATGCACCGGTATCGGACAATAAGTTGCCGACCACAATGACTTGGCTCGACTGTTTTTCCTCCGTCGAACGATCTGTAACTCGTTCGTTCGGACCTTGCCGCTGCTGTACCAACGCCTCCGTTAATTCTTTCGCTACCGAAGTCGACTAACAATTCACCGTGACTGTTCTCCGTATGTCAGCTATAATTGCTCAAGTATAACTGACATTCCTGAGCTCGCCAAACTCGCACGTTTTTGTTCATAGTTCTCCGTTCTTGGTTTTTTCATCTGCACATAAATGAAGATGTATGATTCAAGCTTCTGGAAATACGTCAATCATAATCCTATGCCGAAGGTATGATTTTTCCGAACATTTTCGTGCACAGTTACGTGTCTGGTGCGTTGCATCCCTACACATCGTCCGAAGGCAGGAAAGTCCGCAACCGAATCCTGTTTTCCTCCTCCATCTCTCCGCGATCTCCAGGGAGCAATAATCGTTGCGGGACGGAAAAATTTCGCGACAGAAGTTAAACAAAGCCTCGAAGCAGAAATAAAAAAGCGGGGACGTGGACGAGAGAGAACGAAAAGAGAGAGACAGAGAAACGTAGGGACATAGAAACCGGGGGGTTTCCCAGCTTCGACCGTAATAAGGGTGACCACCTCCCTCCGCGACTCCGTTCGCTCCTGCCGCGCGGCGTTCCTCTGTTCTACTGTTTGAACAAGGCTCATAATTAATACGCGCATTCGCTTCTGGAAAACGCGGGCTCGGGGTGCTCGGGGAAAGGGACATTTTTAAACTACGGCTTCGGATAGTCGCCTTGCCGCAAAGCGCGTCGATACCTCGTGAGTTCTCCGAGGGCTGCTCCGATGTATCTCTCATTTTTTATCTCGTTTTAAGGTGTCCTTTTACGAAGCAAATTCGGGATATTGTCCTCTGTATTTTCGATGACAAAAAATCCGTTGCTATGGATTTAAATTTAACCTTAAAATACGGCAAAAACGAATTGCTATTTGCTATTTTATAGTTATTAATATTTTTAATGTGTAGTTTTAATCCTATAAATAAGTGTATACTTTTTTTTTCTTTAGATTAAATTATTTATCTTGTCTGAATGTTTTGAAGTTATTCTTTAATCGATCTGATTTTCAAAATTGCATCCACAGATCCGATAAAATTAGCTCGTAATTTTTTAATCGAATTATATTCGTTTTAAATATTCCCAGATTTTTTCTTTCGCATCATATATCATATATCATGTAAATTCGAAAAGATTTTCGTCTATTCCCATGGTAGAATTACATGATAGCGTACCTGGCTCGCTTCGCGAGAGATATCCGTCTTTAAGAGCATTATCTGGATGGTCGTCGTCGGCTATGGGGATGGCAAAAACCATCCGCCCCCTTGTGGTATGTGAAAAATGATGCACAACCCCGTCCCCTAAACATCACCTCCGGAAAGTCCCGAAGGAAACGTTCGCCGTCGTCGTCGTTCTCGTTGTCGTCTTTCTGGTTCGTAATCCGTGAGATCGTGTCACAGACGGGTTCGCATTATCGAAAACGTTTAACTTACTCGCAGCTACGTAGCTACTGAGATTATTTGGAATTTTTCCAGTGGACCTCGTCCACGTGAATAACAGAAACATGTACATTTTTTACAAAAATTTCTTTTTATTAATAATTGCGTTACGCAAGATAAAGAAATTGTCTATCTTTAATCTATATTTAGTTTAATAAGATTAACGATGAGTTTTATACTTGTGCGTATAAGAACATTTAATAATTATAATAGTAGGATATTATTTCGAAAAATAGTTACAGATTTGTAAGATAATTCTCAAAATTTATGTATTATTTCGTTCACGAGACTCGCTTGAATTGTAACGCGATGTTGACATCATTTCTAGTTTAATAGTTATTTAATATTCTCGTGTATATTTCTTGATTTCAGATACGCTGAAGTCTACTCGAGAACACCACCGACAGGAATCCAGAACGCGTCGCTCCTTTGCGAGGAGCATAAAGGATTTCTGCACTCGCCCAAAATTAATAACGAACTGTAAGTATAAGCCGCTGTGTATTTCCTAGAAAATATACTTGTTCGAAATACATGTTGCACGCCTCGTTACACTCGCGCACGATGCCTGCGGAGGAGAATCGTATTTCGGGAGGGAGAGAAATAAAGTCAATCGCTTGAGGGACACGGAGAGTGGCTCTCCGAGGTTTCGGGTATTTTTCCTTGGCGGGAATTTCTCGAAGGACACTATATTATAAAGCGAAAGTGCGTGACCTCCTGGCACGCCTTTCTCTCCTTCTCCATGTCTCCGCTCTCGTTCCTCGGCCCCCGTGACGTGATGGATACGCGAAAATGTCACTCGCACGCCCCCGGGGCCAACGCGCCATCCAACATCCCCCGACTATTATGCTAAACCATTGTCCACTATCTACCTAAGATAGCCGGCGGCTTAAGTCGTCCGCTTTTCCACCGTCTCGGTGAGACCGTTAAAAAATCATTTTTACCATCTTGTCCCCTTCCCTCCTTCCTCTCGCAAGGGCGATTTTTGTATCTGTCGGGAATATCACGGATATTTGCTGTTTTCTTCCATGACTTATATCGTTACTACGTATTTGAAAGAGTGACTGATTTAGACATGATGCGATGTGTTATAAAAATCTGTTGAAGTGACAAAAAGTAGATTGCTCAAAATTTTTCATAGTGTATCTTTTTATTTTTGACAAATAATTAATTTAAATAAATGTAATATTTTGGTTATTATTTTAATCTCTTTCATTATGTATTTAGTATTTCTTGTAACACTTACAAAGATTCTCAAATGTAAATCTCCAGAGTCCGACCGAAACTTTTACCGAAACTGAAAACGAACATTCATTACGTGCCAGTTTCGATTGAAACCATGTAGCTCTTCTTCATAAATATTAATTTTAATATGTGTAATTATTGTTTCAATAATTAAATTATGATGTTTATAAAAAAGAGGTACTTATATCCTTTGGTCAAAAATTGACACACAACCGAAATTTCGGTTTTCGATTTCGACCGAAATTTAATTATTGTTATTAATAAATTATATTTATGAAGAAAAAGTACATGATATATGGACATGTCTATACATATGGCCTTTATAGGATTCCTATTTTTTAATTTTGGTTTTAGTTTCGGTGAAATTGACATGTAACCGAGTGTTTTGGTTCAGTTTCGGCAAAAGTTTCGTTCGGACTTTATAAATCTCATAACAATGCTAAATTTTATAGATTTGTTACTTGGGTAACTAGAAAGTAGAATTCACTGTAATTCAAGTAATAAATCTATAAAATTTGGCATTGTTATGAAATTTACATTTGTGAACGTTTCCTTGTCAGCAATATTTAACAATATTTATATCATTTTTTTATGCATCAATAATATAAGATCACGTCGTGATTATTCAGGTTGAAGATGATGTTGTAAAAATGCGTGAGAGAGAGAGAGAGAGAGAGAGAGGGGGGGAATGCGTGAAACGCTGCGTAGTCTGGCTAGTATATATTTTTTCTACTTCGATTTCTCCCCTCTTCTCCTTTCATCGTCTCTCCTCGATGCATCTACCATTATTCGGGCGTTAGGCAAATACACAGGAGAGACGACAAGCTCGTCCGCGCGTTTTTGCTCCCGTGAAAATTCAAATGAGACCGCGCGGCATATTGCGCTGAATCGAAATTAATGTCGCGCAACTAATTATCGGTCGAGTCATCATCGTTTCGTACTGTTCGGGGTTCTCTTTCGCTTTCGTATTGTGAGTCTCGTTGCTGTATAATCGTTCTACCGAGGGACAAACGATCGCGTCAATTATCGTTTATATCATGCTGCCGTCTTAATCACGCTTGATTGATCGATCATTCGTATAGATACGTCTTGCATTGTATATTTTATATCAAATATTTTTATAATCATTATGAGATGTAAATTGCAAAGAACGAATAAGTCTGGACTGATGAAATGCTTGTTTATACACGTTGCAATTTATATTTAATGAATGTTTATGACTATACAAATTTTATCCGATTAATTAATAATAAATTGCGATTGTATCTCGACCTAATCTCGGCCCTACTCCGAGAATAGACAGTTTCGAAATTATGGATATTAATAGCGCAGCAGTTCGCGAAATATTATTGATTGCGTACTAACGCGAGATTCTCTCGCGATACGAGGTTCAGGAACCATGCCAGGATCGAGCGAACAATTGCAAGGGCAAAAAGCTGGAGCCGTGGCACAGCAAGAAATTTCTAATTTGCGGTATAATTAAGGGAGGCGATGCAAAAAGCATTACGGATTCTACGGCGTTGTCGGAAAATCGCAAATTCCATCTTGCAAATACGGCTCTCGTCCAATCGTGCTTTCTCTCTTTCTATTTCTTTGCATGTTTCTACAGTTACTTTATTATAAATATCATAAATTTTGTTGTGCTAGTTTACTTCTCGGTCAGAATTAAAGCGGAATATTATTTAATTGTTACAGATACACTATAGTAACTGAAGAGGAATGGTTGAAGCTCATGCAGTTCTACGACGTTGACCATCCTATTGTCATAAAGAAGACTAGCGATGACTATTGCACGAATCCTGGTGAGTACAAATCCTTTTGTAATACAAGAAATAAAAGGTTGCGATGGATAGTACATTGTATTATTTGCGATGTAGTCTATAAGCGATGGTTTCAGCCGTGACACTTTTAAATATCACGATGTACCGCTATATAGATGTACTTTTTTCGCTTCTCGATATTTTATTGTTGAACGACTTCCCCGCACGTGCGTGAAATATTCGCTGATAATAACCATGATATAAAAGTTGCGATGGATCGCATTTAGCGATATATCTTGTACAGATAGACGGAGAACGTACGTGTGTGTCGTTACCATGGGCTTCCTACTCCGCCTCTTTCCCAACCTAACCCAAGGAATAATGCCAGAAGACATTAGCCACCGATTTACATAAAACCCCCTTCCGTCCTGCCCATCTTCTCAGTTGGCTTCTCCTCCAGGCCCCAAAGTGTCTCATTATAATTAAGAAGTATCCTGAAAATTAACTGGCAGAAAAAGCAACGCCACGCCGGGGATACGGCGGGTGAGACGGCCGTAAATGGCCCTCTCAAAAGTTTCTCGCCCCCCGTTTCACGCGATGTGTCGTTCTCGGGGTATTTACTTCTTCGATGTCTTTGTTTCGTCGATCACAATCTGTTTTTTAATAAATCTTGCGAATTTGATAGATTCTAAAAATCTCACAATCTGTCGAAAATATAATTATTTGTATAAACATAGGATGGGATGATTGAGATGAAGAATGGAATTAAATTCAAATGAAAGGCTCAATCGATAAAACAAAAAATGCAATGATTAAAGGGGCTAGTGAGTCAAGCTCGGTGGTCGTAAAATAATAATAAACTGACAAAATTATTATTAAAAACAATATTGTAAACATTTAGGATATTCTGTCTGACAATTAAAATCGCGTAAAGGAACATGGTAGTGTCGCTGCACTTGTCTTAGTGCCGAGACACTACCGTGTCTCCTGATTCTTGACGCAAAACATTTTCAATCTTTTAAGAAGTTATCTTCAGTGCCGAGATCTTATTACAAATAGCACTAAAAAGTTAGTTTTTTGCTTTTGTTGTTCAAATTCATTTTGATTCTTCTATGTAACTGATCTAGTATCGTCAAGAATGGAGTGTGTGCTTTGAGAAGCGATCAAGATTCATTCAAGTTCTTCGGGCACGTGTCGCTTCCTCAGACGAGCGATCCTTGTCGGCCGTCTGGCAGGCAAATTGGGTTCCGACGGTAACACCCGGGGGACCGGTGATGCGAGAAGGGGTACGACGCTCATGTTCTGCCTCGTGCTAGCCGCCGTGCGGCGTTTATCGTGTGCGCGAAGGATCTCTAAACATCCCATTGTCTTGTCCGTCTTTCGGTCGCGAGTGCGCCACCTTTTTTTCTGAGGCATTTGTCAAGGCGCTCCTCCGGTTCCTTTAGAACGACGGCAAGCTACGCAGCCGCCACCGTCGTTGCCGCCGACGACAACATCTGAATTGCAAAGACCTCACCTCTCGTTGACGGCGAATCGAATGGTCGGTATCACGGTCGGGATACCGACAAGTCTGCCGTCTAAATGGAGATGTCGAGAGTTAAACGATTTTGCGGGCATGCAAATGTCGAGCTAATGGTAGAAATTCTCATCGAATGTTTAACACTAATCGTGGCTGTCTAATTAATTGGTAGTATTTTGAGGATCAGTATAAGAGAAAAATTTAATGTTTAAAATTTATGAAAAATTTTAAAATATATCTTTTATGTTATATTTGTTACATTTTCGATTTCATAAGCATACCTCTAGCATTTTAATCATCTTCATTTCTCGGTGTCAATAATATTCAAGAACGCGAAGCGAGGAGGAATTACGTACAAACGGACGCCTTAGCTTATTTTGAGGACGCGCTTTGCAGACAGGAAGGGCCTCGGGGTGATCGCGAAAGGGAGAGGGACGGATTGCCAAGCGCAAAAAATGAGGGGTTGCTTTTGGTGACTGATACGGCCCTGACTAACGAGTCCTAGCCGGTCGTGCTACTCTTAAAGCCTCCAAGGATTCCCTTTTCCTGCTCTCTTTCTCCCCCTTCTGTCCACTGTCTCCCTCGATCGTGGAAGCACATTAGGCACCGTCCAACCTCGTATCAATCACCCGACTACCCCCGAAACCCCCGTCGTAGGCCGTCCGCTCGCAAGTTGACAGAACCGGAGGTGACGCGATTGAATACCACCCTCTGTGCCTCGTTGCTGCTCCGATCAGCTCGATGACGACGGCGATGCTGGAAAACCTAAACGGAGGGAAAGAATCGTTGCCTTGTTTGTTAATGCCTCGGCAAAGGACCGGTCCATCTTAATGTGAGACATCTTATTCACTAGTTAGATCTCAACAACTTTATCTAATCAAAGCGAATGAGATTTGTAAAATATTTAAACAAGCTAAGTGGTGCATTAATTAATGTATGATAGAATTCATTCTGTGATTCATCCGCTTTAAGCGTAAATTGAATCTTATGAATTTAGAATTTTATTGTTTCGGACACTTCAACTGGAAATTTAAATTCATATCGCGTATTTTGTCGAATTTAATTTGTAAAATTAGATTTTTGTTTTTACCTTCCGATAATATATATAATTATTACATGTATATAAATACTCAACATTTACAAAAAATACAAGTCAAAGAATGAGGTTTCTTTTCGAATCGCGCATCGACAATTATGTAAATCGCGTCTCGTGCGATTACATCTTCTGGGAAATTGCTTTACACGCCAGATGAAGTTGATTCTAGAAATGTAAGCGGCGCGTTGCTATACTCGCTGTTTCGTTTCTCCGAAACGTCGCTCGTAAATATCGCTTAGGCGCCAGGCGGTATCACAAATCAGGCGTGTCGTAGGTACGGCACTGGTTGTATCGCAAAACCAATGACGAACGAGTGAGCGAGACCAAGAAAACCGTGCACGCGGGGCAGACAGACGGGGGCAGAAACCGGCGCGGCGACGGTAGTAGCGGTGGCGGTAGGAGAGACCGGCCTCGAATTAATATTCGGACGGCGATTTAGATTTAGAACACGAATTTGCTGATTAGTTCCCTCCCCGAAAATGCGGTCGCCTACGTTGCAGCGGACCGTCCGTCCTTCCATAAACGTGCGGCTAGAGTGGCGGGGGCTGGGACGGACCTGGATTCGAGATTTAGTTTCCTGAGGGGGTTGAACTTACCAAGGGGTCAAACGATTCAGGAGAGACATTTGTTAGCCCCCTGTCCCCACCCTGCGACAAGTGCGCCGGACACGTCTTAATATATACATCCGCTGACCAATGAACATGCCCTTATGAGCCACGGTGCCGTGCGGTCAAAGTCGCTACACCATAATGGATACTGACTTCTACCCGGAACTTTTTCGCTCAAGAACTTACAGTCCCGAGACTGAAGCCACCGTTAGAGCGGCAGGCACTGCCGTTCGATTAAGGGTTTATTTCTATCCCACCCTCACCGATCGCGCTTTCACTAAACGGAAACAGGGAAAGTAATCCTGATCAACGATGTGTTAATATCAATATATCGAATGAAGTAATCCTTTCAATCATTTTATGTACATAATTGCCATAAAATTGGAAATATCAGGAAAATGTTAGGGAAATTGAAAATGGTCAGGAAAATCGGGGAAAAAATCAGGGAATTTTGTAAAATTTTCTAAAAAATTAAATTCATGGCTTTAAAGAAATTTAATATGCGTACATTATATCTATGCAGTTTTAGTACTATCGACTTAAAAATTAAATGCGAGCAGTATCAGCAACATCAATAATAATTTATATTAAATTAAAAAATAATTTTGTCTGGAAATCAGGGAAAAATTATGGAATTTTAGGAATTTGTAACAGCCTTAATATATTAAAAGAGAAATTTCTATATATACATTTAACTTCAAGCGCTCTGCCACAATTTAATTATTTTAATCAATGCATCAGTCTAACTAATTTTTCGTTCGTACTACTTATTTCATTTCACTCTGAAGATCGAAAATTAATTTTTGGTCAACACGACGATTGCGTAGGTACTTTCTTTTTTACAACAGCCAATGTAGATAAGAAAAGGGAGGCTTAACGAAAACATTAGCGTGCGGGAAACGGAAAAAGCAGCGTTTTCGCGTAATCGCGCAGGAAACGAGCAAAGTCGGGCAGGACAAATTTCGCAGGGACGAATTAGCGCATCCTGCAGCTAGGTCTCTCGAAATGCTCTCCCTCGCTGCTTCTGTTATCCCGAAGGAGATCCCCACTTGTCCATGGACCTACGGGGGGTCCTTTTCCTCCAGGATTAAATGGAGCGCCTAGATGACCGATGCTCGTCCTCCGGCAGCGGTGGAGTGTGCGAAGCGTGATGCTAGGGTGAAGAACGGGGGCGGGAGAGTTGGGTGGAAAACAAGATAAAACAAGGATAATATCTCGTCACAAGGAGACCCTCGATAATCTGGAGGTGTCTAATCGTCTATATCGCTTGATTTAAATCGCCGCGTTTGTCTGCCGTCCAAGTTTGTCCTCTCGCACATCGCAGAAAGTTTTGAAGTGTACTCTTTCGCGTGTATTCCAATCGTTGTTTATTTCATTGTAAAAGAGATAAAACGAAATGACTTGGTGCAGTAAAATATTAATACTGCTCTATTTATCATCGTTAATTTATCATCGCTGCGTGACAATTTTTCCAGCTGAAAATTATTACTTTCGCGAGTAATTTGAGAAACGAGTTCTAAACACACGCACCAAGGAAAACCGGAGCTCGTTAGTTACGGTTGACACACCTCATTGCGTGTTCGTTGCTTCGAATCCAGCGATTTGCAAAGTAAAGGCGGAACATCTCGCGTTTAATTAACGAATTCGTTCATCATCGCGGGGTACTTCATTTGTGAACATCGCAAGAGGCAACGTCTCTCTCGATCTCCGCTTCGCAGGGTGACAATCGTATTTTGCGGATTTCGGGAGAGACGCGCGTAATGCCGTCGAGTGCCCTCGCTGCTACCGGCTCGGTGTCATCCCGTAAGAGGATTAGATCTCGACTTTGTTGTGGCTCTCGAAGACGTTCGTTAACGAAATCATTATTACCACGTCGATCTTCTTCTGCTACCGCAACGTCGATGTTATGCATTGAAAACGCCTGCACCGAGTCACGTTTGAGAGATTTGTTAATTTTAGCTGCCAATTACTGGCGCTCGCTAACGGGTGAATTGATTAAAAAAATTAGGAACACTCAGCTAAAGATCAGAAGTCGCATTCTACTCATTTTTGTGTAACGGTATTGTATTGGTACATTTACGGTGTAAATGTATTGTATTTAATTATACTTAATAGCATGCTGTATAATTATACAACTGTAGCTTTTTAGCATTATTATATTAAGCACATCAGCTTTACTGTTAGTTGTTGCTAAATTCAATTAATTTAATAATACAGTTGACAAAACGCAAAGTCATTATTTACTTACTGGGGTGAACACAGTTCTTTTCTTTCTCCCGGAAACTCCGAAGAATTCGAAACATATTTCGAGAAGGGTGAACGGTTCCCGTCGTCGAGTCACGACGGTTAGGGGAAAACATCAATCTTTCATTCACGGGGTGACTCGGAAGTTATGAATGAAAGTCGTTCAGCCTTTTTAATATAATATCAAACCCGGTGTCTTTTCGCTTAACGCGCTTTCGATTTTGATCGAAGAGTTTAGGGCGACTCATGCGTTTTTCTTGACTCCGAATAATTTAAGATCAATGTATTTACACATTTTTATTGCAAAGATTTTGTTCTTTTATTTGATTTTAGGAATCGATTATAATTAAACGGATACATAAATAGTTTACTTGTAAGAAAATTCCGAAGAGATTCAAATCCCTTGATAGTGATCCGTAGTATCAATATCTTATTTCGATTAAGCTCCCGAATGTTAGCGCCCCTATTTCGTTTCACGATTCTTCTCCGTCCACTTGCTAACTGTTCGCACTAAATGACCTCATCCTACCGATTCGCCTACTTATTTCAATGTATCTGTGATCACAGTGTAATTGCTTTCCTTGATCGATTATCATCAATCGGCCGAAGTGTGATTAGCAGCACGTTGATTAGTAGGTGGGCACTTTGTTCGACCCGTCAATGCCAAAAAAGACTTGCTTAGACATTTTAATTAAATTTATCTAATTGAATAACTTTTTTCTCTAGCTATTTAAATAATATATTATTTTGACTATCATTAGCCAAAGTTAGTTTCTCTTTTTTACTATACATAGTAAAATTTTAATTATCAAACTTTATCAATAAAAGAATTAAAATTTAAAAAGCAGTCTCCTTCTATATACACTAAAATTTCTTATGTTATTCGCAAAACTCAGAGAGATAATACATATTCGTATTAAAATAATATTGTATTAAAATAAAATTTAAGATGATGTTAAATTCAATATTTTATAATAATGAAAATTACAACTATATCGATCAGCTACTCACATTTCGGGAATATGATTGCGGTATAATTTGACAATCCTATCTATCGTTTGCCAAAAGTTTTACATTCCCAAGAGTTCTTAGCGCAGGCCGTTTAATCGGGTCTAAATAAAATCCAAAGGCATCTGACTCTTCGTCGGAACTCCCGAAACTTCTTCCGTCGTATAAGTTTCTGCTCCGTTTCGACGCTCGTTTATGGTTTGATTGCTCTTCGATGGCACTTTAGGGAAATACACTAGACCTCCTCTGCATCGCCCTTTAGTCTTACACAAACCTTCGGACTTTTGTGTATTATTTGCCAATAAAATCATCCCTTTGTTGACTTGCTCGTCTCTTGAAATGCTTGTATGAGAACTCTTTTGTATTTCTGCACAGTACTTTGATGATGAAAATCCGAGTTTATGTGAATGAAATGTAATTAGTCGTACCTTTGATTCCGCGAGAGATTGTCCGTTCTCGGTTGGCTGGAAAAGTGTGGCCAGCATTCTCGATAGGTAGGCTATTGTTTGTAGTACGTCGGAAGAGATTTGCATTCGCGACCCTACGAATCTCTCATTAGCTTAAGCTTCTCGTATTTCCGATTAAATCCGATAGCAAACGATCCTATCGCACGGATATCCCCGCGCCAGCGGGTAATTAGGAATTCGACGGGAGGACCTTCGAATTCATTTGGCGTGCGGGTCCTTCCGTCCTATCCTTCGTTACCGTTACGGGAAATTAGTTCGCCGCTGCATGAACGGACGTCCGTCGTTTTCAATCTACCCTCATTCGCGGCGACGATCAACATTTATTCTTCTCGTTTGCAAAGTTTCTCTCGCCGCGAGAGAAAGTACATCGAACGAGACGCTCCGCGTTAATCTCCTTGACTCGTTAATGGACAAATAGCTTCTTACAACGTTCTCTTATTGGCTCCTACGAGCCGGTAATTAGCGGTAACGCGGGGGTGGACGCGAATTCGCATTCAGCCGGGGTCACGATTCCTCCCCTCGCGTTTCCCACCGCTGGAAAACTGTCTGAACATGACGTAACGCTCTGAGAGTAACGCTCGGATACGAGCTTTGGCTCCGGACCGGCCGAAGCGCTTTTTGTGCTGTCCGGCCAGCAACAATGGCCGCTTCTTACACCACCCTGGTCACCGTATATTATTAATTACTGTATTAATCTCACCGGCCGTAAGCAATCTATTATACATGGGATAAGAGCCACCACCGACATCACTGTGCCACCCACCCGCTCGACGCGCACCCTCTAACTTGACTTTCTAACTGCCGGCCCGGTCCTCTCTCGACGAGGGATCGACGAGGCCAACGAAATCTGACCCCCGGGGGTGTTAATAGCGGCGTCGCGCCGGACTGCGTCATGTTTAAGTTCTAGTATTGTTGCAAAGATCGCGCTTTCTTGCATTGGTGCATTGCGACATTTTCGAGGCAACGTATAATTTTTTACAAAAGAAATGCTCTACTTTGTTATTGTAATTATTATATTTTTATGGATAAATCTTATAAGATTGTTAAGATTTTTTTTTAAAGAGGGAGAAGGAGCTAACAAAATTTATATTGTTATGAATGTAAGAATACTTAGAAAATTGGAAGAAAAACTTTAACGAAATAATAGATATTTGCAAATATAATGTTCATCACTTTGAAACGCATAAAGCGTCATGAAAGTCTCTTCTATTGTTTCAGGCCCCTGCGCAGCTTGCATGTTAGCGAAGGTTGAACAGGAACGTCTAGAAAGCTTGAAGTACGATAGAGCAACAATCTACGTTAAATGTATCGATGAAAACGAAGAACCTAAGATGGACGACAATGATTATGAGGTAACAAGCAAAAATATCTTCAATTGATTATTTATTTAATAAATCGTACATAAGGATTATTTTATTGACATGAGATAATTAAACGATCATAAAGATAATTGAAAAATTTGGTATATATTACTGGATGAGTGTAACTTCGGTGTTCATTATATACAATTACGTACAATTTTTGATGAGACAATATAATTTATATCACGTTATTATTGTAATAAAACGATAATGTTCTTTTTTCTTATATGCGATATATTTAATAGAAATTGCAAATTTTACATTTTATATATATATATGTGTGTGTGTGTGTGTGTGTGTGTGTGTGTGTGTGTATATGTATTAACAAGTTATATTGGCTCGTTCGAACGAGAAAAGAATTTTGTTAATGGGTCGACGTGCCGAGTCATCGAGTGTCCTGGAAGCGGTCGTCTTTCCAGATTAATTTTAACCGATAACGGCGAGTTGATGCCATCTCACGCATTTCACGATGTAATAAGTATTATTACGTCTCTGTTCGAAGTGACCTTAAGAATTATCTGCTTCCTTTTACGCAGCTCACTTTTGATTCACGTTGATTTAGAAATATAATTGTAGAGAATTGCGCTTATATATGTGACTAACTAAACTTTTTTTTCTAATATCTTTTTATGTGTGAAAATATTGAATAGAGATAAAAAATAGGATATATATTTTATATTACTTTTTATATTACGAAAAAAGTGCATTTTTTAAATTATATTTTATTGTGTTTATATACCTTTTATTTCAACATTTATGTTAAAGAGGGCATATAAGTAGGCAGAGAATTGTTAAAATTTTACAAACTAAAGATTTTTATTTCTACAAATATTTTTTTTTATAGAAGAGTTATTTAGACCTATCTTTTATTTATCGGATATTTCGAACGTTTGTCACAGGTAGTGACAAAAAAACCGAAGATAGCGAAGGCACGTCCCTCACGAACTAGGAGAAAATTAAAAGGCTCTCACGAACTCAAAGTGTCATCTGAGATTACTTTGAAAGAACTTAAAGTAATGGTAAGTGTCTTGTTAATATATTTAGCTATAACGTCGGATTTTAATCTTTAACTATCTCATAAGACAAAATACATCGAGAAATGAGTGATTTGATTATGGCAATACATTTCCAATTTTGGATAAATTTTGAACCTATTTGTTCTATAGAAAATTGCATCCGATATAAATTTAGAAGAATCTAAAAACTATGAAGAAAAATCGTTAGGGACAATTGTTTACTGAGCGAGATAGCCTCGCGAAAAAGGTTGGAAAAAGTTCATCCGATATCTTGATCTGTTTGTGCTCGTCACCTGCCGAAGCGGACTCAGGATAATCAATCAATTTGCGGCGCAAGTATTTTACGGCGCGGTCTTATTGTTCGAACCGAAATGGGAAGAGCTGCGTTTGCCCGGCCGCCACCCCTCGGCCTGACTATCTCGGTCCGGTTGTCCGTTCCCCGACTCGTGCTGGACGAAAGAGTAGTAAAGCGTAGTTATGGCTGGTTAGCATATGCTCGGGCTCCGGCAGTGTGCTTAAACTATTAAGCGTATTTATATTGCGAGGCCGTAGCCATCTCCTCCTCTTCCTCCCTCTTCTTTCTGGCGGAGCCACTGGCAAAAACCCGAAAGAGCATAAACCTCGCGCTAATAACAGGTCTCCAACTTCTCCACTCCACTTCACTCCACTTCGCTCCACTCAACCTTCCATTTGACTCTTTCTCCCGGCTCGATCTCTCTTCATCTCGCGTATCTCTCTCTCCGTCTCACGCGCGATATTCCTCTATCTATTCACTGAGCTCTCCTTCGGGCTCGAATTTTTGTTCGTGCCTCTTTCACCCCGTGGAACACACGTCCCCTTTTAATACCCGCCCGCGAGAGAGGCTGTCGGCGTCAATGGAAATACCGAGACCCGGTCACTCCTTCTCATTCACTGTCGCTTCTTTTTTTTTTATAGCTCTGTGTCTTTCGACTTGATTTCGTCTCTCGCTTAACGAAAGTCAACAATCAAAATAAATCATTCGATTGACCGAAATCTTTAGCTACTATATGTTTTTGCTACTATAACTCGTGAGAATGAAATTGTATCAGTAATTTTAAGGGAAAAAATGATATATTTTGAAAGCGCGTAAAGGACGTTTTTGTTCCATTAGAAAATCTCACGGCGTCACGATTCAAGGGTGTCACTGTTCGCGGATTGGTTCTCGCGTTTGACAAAAATGCGAGCGAGTCACGCCGCGCGCTCGTTGTCTTTTTTATCTTTGTGCAAAAAGACCGCCAATAAAAATGTTTGAGTTTCATGGTCGAATGCAGTTATGTCGCGGAGCAAGCGGGCAAGCAAATCGGGACAATAGCGGCCGCCGTTGATCTTCGCCAACGCGCGGGTAAGCTTTACGTAATCGCGGTGTAACGCCTATGAAGTGACCGTCTGTAAATATTACTTTCCAGCACATTCCGTGTCACCAGTTCCATTTTTTTCCTCAGTATCGCTCGATCGCCTTTCTTACTCTCATTGCGCCGCGACACGAACGCAATGGCATCGAGACGAAAAAACGTTCGTCCACGCGGATAGCTCGTTCACGGAAAAATGATGGCTGACTCACTGAAAAACGTGGCCGAACGGCCGCGCCAGATTTTTCACGGATAGATTGGAAAGCAAATCGTAGAAGTCATTGAAAAGAGAGAGGAGGTCATTTGGTGCTAGAAAGCTCACGTTATCAATTGCAGACGTCGAGATTATATCCACGAGGTAATCCGTTGCGGTTTCGGCTCCCGACGAGCGACGCAGCGCGACGCGGCTATCAGGATCCGTAAATATCAAAAGTTCCTCAACCCCGAGGCAATTTGGCCTCCTGCCGCCACTTCGCAACCTTGTTAAACCCACCTCTATTTATCGCGCTCGTTGAGCGCCTTCCTTTAACGAGGAAGCCTCGAGGTTCTTTGACCCTGACCACCTCTTCTTGTTCTGCTCGTTCTCGTCGTTCTCTTCTCTGTTGTATGAAGTCCGGCAGACATTTACGACATATGAGGATTGGTTTTGATGTAACGTACACTCTCGATCTCGGACAAGATCTAGCGACAATAATATCCGCCACGATCTATGCCTCCGTTATTTTAGCAGGGAATAATTATAGAATAGAATTTATTCTCTCCATATATAAAATCACGAAGGAGACTTGGCTTACAAACTTTATTCTTACATCATTCATCCATCCATACCTTTGTCATGTGCGCTCCTATTTTAATTGTTTATTGCACTATTTCTCAGCGGGGAATAATTTGACGAAAAATGATTGTTGTATGCCCAAGTATACGCGAGCAATCGTGCGTATGCTCATAATCGTCTTTTTGTACACGACGTCCGCCCCTTAGTTGCTTTCCGGCGCCCTCGCGATGCCTCTCCTCTCGTTTCTCCTCCTGGACTTCTTTGCTCGGCTCGGTTCAGTTCGACTCGACGATCGTAAAACAGAAACCGAGAGAGAGCTACACGTTCTCGCACCGACGCCGAGGACAGGCAAGCTATCCCTCCACGCAACATTACGCGGGTTCCACAAATTAAGCAATTACCGGGGCTCACGCTCGTCTCGCGCACTCTTCCACTTCTAGAATCTCAAATAGTCCCCCTTAGTTTTTCCGCACTTCGCTCTACGAATACCTTGGCGTTCATGTATTGAAATACATTTTAGATGTCCTCGGGCGTAGCCAATCCTGATGGGAAATACAGAAGCATACGTATTATTTGTTTTTTAATAAAAGTTTATGTTTCTGAAAAGTTTAATTATATTACGATCGATCGATGCATGTTAGAAATTGAAAAACCAATGAAGTCGCTTTTTTGTTAAATTATAACTCGATTTGATTGTACATATGAATAAAAGTCGGAGCACAGATCTTTGCATAACGTATAAATCGTAAGAAAATCAACCAATCAGAGTCTTTTATTTTATGGAAAGGAAGGAAGTGAAAAACTTTGATTGGCTTATTTTCTTATGCATTATTTATTATGCGTTATGCAAGACTCTGTGCTCCCCTTCTTAGATAAGAAAATTTTGTTTCCTTTCAGACGATGCAAATTTGTGGAGCTGGACCGTACGACCAACATATAATGCTAGGAGAACACGAACTCATTGATGATAGTCTGAGCTTGGCGGCACTCGGTATATTTCCTGGAGCTCTACTTACGTTAAAGGTAAGTTTCGATTTAAGTTATGCTATATTTTGCTTTTATTTTTTTATTTATTTTTTTATATCTTACAAATATATGATATAAGGATATTACAAATAAATTAAATAAATTCGAGAGAAATGAAAGTTGTATGATGAAACGATTGCTATCGAAGTGAGGAAAACTGAATTGCGAATTTTTGAAAACCAACAGAAATTTTTTTGTAAAATTATCTATATAATTATAAGAATTCAGGGATATAGCACGCAAATGTCTCTAAGCGTCCTCGAGATCAATCAAGCGTGCACTTGTAAAGTTTACATTATAAATCTGCTTTCACGTGCAGTGGCATACATTGATGCATGTAGATCTCTTCGTTAAATAGAAGTACTTAGGATTCTACTTTATCGTGTTTAATGTTTTACGATCCGACGCGGCGCCTCGATGGTCCGCTACGATGTCTTGATTGTCGTTGCAACGATACGTTTGTTCCGCCTGACTAGCGGACAGTGACAAACAGATGCAATTTAGATTTAAGATCTAGCCACTGTTTCCCTTAAGTTCGAGACAATGGATAAGTAACCGGGACCGGCAATGGCTTCCCAGATAACGACGCCAAGACCGGCGTTTTCACGCCGGGATTAACCGAAAATGCCTTATTTGAGATTAGAAGTGTTAATTGTAGCCCTCTTAGCCTCGGGAGAGTGAAGTCGTTAGAAATTGTAGCTTATCCGCAAGCTTATACTCCGACGAATCAGTACTAATTCCGCCTGTGTGTAAGTGCAAATAAATTTTAAATGAAAAATTTTACATTCATTTCATATTCTTAGCTGATAAATTATAAGAAAGTTTACTTCTATTATTTACGGAACTGCTAGTTATCGTTAACTCTCTATATTTCTAGTCAGAGTCAGGTATCCGATTTGATTTATATACGTGAGAAACTTGCGACAATGATATCGCGACCATACGTTTATCCGTGCCACATTGTTTTCGCACTCTTCGTGCGGAACGCTGTCCAACCCTCGCGGGTTTTTGCCGAGAGCAACCGTCTGCGGAACGCGTCGCGGAGAAAAATTCTCAATGCTCTCTCGTTCGGCGGAATAATTTCAGGATTCCAATACATTCCTCGGTTCACAGTCGACTGACTTTATGAAAGCAATTGGTGAGCTAAGCCAGCAAACGTTCAGCACAGCGACAGAATCTCAAAACCGTTAACCCAAGTCGTACTACGTTCGGGAAGAACAAAGAGGGCAGGGGGGAGAGAGAGAGAGAGAGAGAGAGAGAGAGAGAGAGAGAGAGAGGAAGAGAAGGAGACGCAGCCTCCTTGCTGGACTGGTTCACCGGTTGCGGTTGCACTAGCTGCGAATTCTAATTGCTATCTTGCCTCGGAGAATCCAGTTTAGTCAACCTGCCGACGTTTCTACCTATTGAAACGCTTCGATGGGTTTTGCGGTTTTCAGAAAAATTTCTTCCCGCATCCCATCGCACTGATTACCGTCGACGTGACAAAATTTTACGGCAAATGGTTTATTATTCTGCTTTTTTTTTTTAAGCAATTTAAATCTCATTGAATCGGTTATAATAAAAATATTGAACTCTCACTGTACGTTTTGTTCTCACGGATCTCGCAGTTGGTGCCCCGGAATTCTATGTATGAAATAGCAAGGAACTGTCGATTCCCGTGGTCAGAATATAACGACAGTGATAAATCCCGAGGCACGTCTAGCTGCTTTTAACTATCATTAACCATAACGTGACTGAAAAGTACATAACGGGCGGGTAATTATTTGCGGTTATATGAATAACCGTGGACCGACTCCCGATATGTAAGAAGCTCCCTCGAGAACGAGATTGTTTCGCGAAATCTTCCGTCGTAAAATCTCCTCGTTCACCGGACGACGAACTTAATGCGACTCAAAAGCATAATCGTATAAACCGGAGTTAGGTTGTTCCGATCGGCTGTACTTATACTTAAATCATATCGCTTAGGAAAGACTGTCTTTCGTTGGGCAATTGCTATATGTTCTGTTTATTTTGCAATTGTCGAAGTTACTTTATTTCGGGATACATGTAGAAAAATAGTTGAAACTCCAAGAAATTTTATTTCCTTATTCGATCTAATTTTTCTAAAGAAATCGCAAAAGTACGATTGATTCGAAGCGGCGGAAATTGAACTTTTCTACTCTTCTTAGGCCCAGTTTTTCATTATCTGGTTAACTTATGGTTTAACTTCATAATGTAAAAATTTGTGTTTTTTTTTGCTATGGTTAGCAAAAAATTAGTTTAGATTAATCTATTATAATTCTATATTATAATCTTTTATAATTGTAACTTCAAAAGTTATTCACAAAGCTACCAGTTAATTACTGATCAATCGTAGATAAAAAATACAATTTTTATATTATCAGCCCAATCATAAGTTAATCAGCAAATCCAGACTTTAGACCTGTCTCATGATATCAGACGATATATCGGAATTGTCAGATACTCTATTCGCGGCGGATAGACTGGATTAAAGCGTTTCAGGCAAGGTTAGTCCTTGATTTTGCTACCGGTCCAGCACCATGGCACGCACAATGATCAGGATGACTTGCGGCGTACATCGGTGATCGAGTGTCTCGCGAGATATCAGCTACCGCTCCGTCATCATCCGTGCAATAATTCAAGGTCGTCGGAGTACAAAGTTAATATATCTTGCCACGTATCTACATTATATCACTACCTTTTTTTTTCGGCCGATCCGGTTGACCGAAGGAGATCAACGACATTACGTCGCGCGAGGTCGATCGTCTTACTCTTTTCTTTTATGTCACTTTCGCTCTCCCTACCATTCCCTTTCCACCATCCGGTTTGTTTGCGCGCTTTTATGAGCACGTTACACGTCATGATTAATCGATCTTTCTTCGTCGCAAATGGATCTCTCTTCCAAGTAGTCATTGTATTCGGTTTTGGTTGCGCCATGTGCCATGAATGTTGTAGCTTTCGAAGCTCAACTGTAAATTGTGACTTGGAATGAACGTTCGAAATTCTTGACGCAGCTTGACGAGGCAGATTACATTTTTGTTCGATTCGCAATTCGCGCGTACCTTTTAAACAAAAAGTGAACCGTAACCGTCGCGAGAACCGCGTTAGAGATAAAGATATTAAAGCAACGGCATGTGCCAAGTTATAATTAACGCGCGACGAGATATTAATGAAGACACGTACATTCGTTTAGCTTTGATGAAATAAACGTCATAATCGAGGACAAGGACGATAAAGACGATAAAGAATAGCAACAAAATTGTGCACAATGTTGGACGACTAGGCTGTTTTTGATCCACCCTTAATTTTTCCCGATTTTTTTGCAATTCCTCGTCAGACTGCTCTTCATGGCTGATCGACCGGGGTCTTTAGAGTCGGTCGGTCGAGTCTCCAACGGGCGGCACCCGCGTTTGATGTCGTGTGACGAATGTCCGCGTTGGACGCGCTCGCCTTCCTCCTTCTCCTTTTCCTCTTACCCTCCCGCCCCGTTTCCCCGTTTCTATGCTCTTCTTTCTTTCGTACCCGCGTTTCGTTCTCGAGTTCTCCCTTCCGCCCGTCCATTCTGCGATCCTTCCGTCGCGGTTCATCCCGCTTTCTCGTACAAGAGAGAATCCCGTATGACGGACTTGGTCGAATCTCTCCCTTCAGGAGCGCCAACAGAAAATTGGAAACATTCGATAGGGCCCCCGCTACCGTTGCGGCTACGATAAAAAGATACGTGCCGCCGCTTCGCGTCGGAACCGGCCCGCAAAATATGCGATCCGTCGTGGATCCACGCGGAACAATCACGCGGTCGGGCTCTATGCGCTTCGCAGATCCGTAGATTTTCGCAATCTTCAGTTTCATTTTAATTCACATTTCGCCTTCGTCGACTTTAGAAATTAATTATTTTCTCGATTAAACTCTTACCTTATAGTCAATTTTTAATTTTAAGACCGTCTTGAATAATACCTTAAGATGCTAATGCGACTCTGTTCATTGGTTCATGATACCTTAAGACTGTAAGATGTTATGATATGTATAATGTTTAAGACAGTCAAAATCGATTATGAATATCGATTCTAAATCCTCACTGCACTTAGTAATATTGCAAATTTTTCGATTAGTTTAACAATGGCGAATACAATGTTACTATTAACGTTCCGCGTGCATTTTCATTGGTTTATCTGCTACTTTCATAATCCCTTTGCGTTTTGTCCTGCTCAAAAATGGACACATGTTTATCCTTACTTTTCTCTCCGTTCCTTTCTATCTGCTACCCAAACGAGGATTCCGTTTATACGGGAAGGTTGAAGCAAGACCGTTCCGAGTTCTCTCCAATGAACTACAGTAAATGTGCCCTCTCGTGCAGGTAATGGCGACAATTATCCGCGTCGGTGAACTCGGCATTAAAATCAAATCATAACAACCAGGCCTGAGCGGCCGAAAAGTTACCTTTCTGATTCAACGTGCTCATCAGTCTTCAAGATCCATAAATCCTTATTGAACCTTCCTGTATAAACCACAAAATATCTCACGTAATAATACTAGACGCGCGCGCGTTCGGTGTCTATAATTCTTTTATAATTATCTTCGTCTCTGTTACATTTTTGAGAAAATAAGAGTTTTTTAAAAAATAATATTTTTTAAATAATAAATCAAGAGAAATAAGAAGAAAAAGTTGCATGATTAATAAGAATGAATATATGAACATGACGTTGATGAATACCAAAGTTTTCGCCACGACAAGGCTTTGAGAAATTTATGCTGTTGTACATAAAATTAATGTAACTATATGTCTCTATGAAGAATGCTAAAGTATATAAAATAACCGAGGTGAGAAACAAGCGTCGTTAAAATTTTTAATAGCATGACTATCGACATCTGACCTTTCCACGCGGCATGTGCTAATAAATGGATCTAATGGGCTTTTAATTATTCGCCTTGGATTCGTAAAAATACATAATTTTTGTTTTCTTTGCGTTGATTTATCAGAAGGTTGTGTCATTGTAATTCTA